CAACCAATGTGGATTTGTGAATAGTTCATAAATCCATGTCTTGGTTCTTATGTTAAACTCGTCCAATTGAAGCCCAAACTTGCATGTCACTAGTTCCTCTTCTTTCTTTTTGTATTTTTTGAGACATTGCTGGCATGGTTCTTTACTAGCCCCTCCATCACAAATTCTTTCACCTTTTCTAAATCTTCTGTAGGTGGCATTTGCTTTGGATCCTCACTGAATGGGCCTGCAATTCCAATCACTTCAGAAATTTCTGTCTCTTTTCTCCTCTTTAGTGCCCTTTCCATCTTGCTTTTCTTGGATTCTGTGGTTGGGTAGGAGTGTATCTGTCAGGACTCTTAGCAGTCCTTTTTGACCTTTTAAAGCCTTTCTGTTCAGCTCCAATAACACTCGTATTTCCATCTTGTGCATTTATAACTTCATGGTAAGTTCCATATGTCATTATAATAAGAAATTAATGTCTCTGTAATTCTATTAACCATCTGTACTATTTTATTTTTTCTGAAGTTTTGGTCTTCAATATAACCAATTACCTCATCCTTAAAGTTGCGAACAATTCCTGATTTGTTCATCTCTTTCTTCTTTACTGATTGGCTCACACTTATTAGATTCACTATCTTCTATGATATTCTGTTCAGCAACATATACCTACATAAAATTTAATATTTGTTAATGTTTATGTTACGTCACCATATGTGCAATTAGATATAATAGTCGTACATTTTCATCTGCGAAAGTAACTCCTCATTCTTTTAAATCCTCAGTGTCCATAGTCATTTCTTCAACTTCCTATAATTACATAAGAAATATATTGTAGTTAGTGTTTTTAAGAAAACTGAAACTGTAATAATATTTAACTTACCTCTTCTTCTATTTTCTTGTCAGTTTCTTTCAAGTTATTAATGACATCATGAAGGACACTGTTCACACGCAATTCTAATTCTTGTGTGTTTATGCTTGCTTGAGCTGGAGTTGGTGAACCTTCCTCTTCAAAGATTACTGTCTTCTCTTTTTGTGCACCTATGGGATTTGCATCCTCGCTTTCAACTTCTTTATTTTCTTCATGGTGATCACTGTCTGCAGTTTGTACCTTTTGCACAATATTTCCTTCATCTTTCTGTGTTTGATCAAGATGTAGGTCAAAACTAGGCATATCTGGAACCAAGGCCTCTTCATCTACCCTTGTCTCAGAAGTTTCATCGTTATCCATGCCCATTTCTTGTTCATTATTTGTAGCTTCTCCATTTGATGTGCTTCTTCTAAGCATTAATGCTTTTAGCACATCTATTTGCTCCTTTTGACCATTGAGAAGTCTTTGCATTCCATCTTCCAACACTTTTATTCTACCCTCAAGCTTTTGGGTCTTCTTGGATTGGAGCACAACTGCAGCCATTATATTACGCATAATGACCTTGTCCCTCATTTGGTTCCCAACACTGTTTCTTGTCTTCACCAAACATTGTAATCTTTGAAGTCCTCTTACCGTTTCACTCTCACCATTTTGTTCCTTCATGCCCTCATTTTCTTTATTGTTGCAGTCAGTTTGTTCACCATCACATTGTCTTTTTTTATGCTCATTTTCTTTACTGTCAGTGTCTCTGACCATCACCATGAACTTCACAATCATCTTGATTCTCTGAAATTGCCTTTTGAAGTGCATGAATAGCAAAGTCTGCTTTCTCTTTTGATAGTCTATGCTTTAGAGTAAGACGACCTCCTTTGCCTAAATTTACTGTCTTCTTTCTATACAACTCCTTTATTTCTGGAATCTTAAGTTCCTCCTCAGTTGATTGCATTGGTTCATACTCAAACTGTATAAAATAGGGAAAAAAAATATCAGTGCAGACAATAAAATCAGGTAGACAACAAGGATGTTTTCTTTTGGACTGAAATTTGCTGGTCTGGTCTGGTCTGGTCTGATCTGGTCTGGTCTGGTCTGTTTAAGTCTAGTCTGGTCTGAACTGGTCTGGTCAGGTCTGGTAAATGTCTTGTCTCTGTGTATTTTATAATTATCCAAGTCTGGTCTGGTCTGGTCTGGTCTGTTTAAGTCTGGTCTGGTCTGGTCTGTTTAAGTCTGGTCTGGTCTGATCTGGTCTGGTCTGGTCTGGTCTGGGACTGAAAACAGTCCAAAAGAAAACATCCTAAAATAAAGTAAACAATAAATTAAAGTTTACCTCTTCATTCAGAAATATGGCATCTGCTAGTGTAGCAATGTTTGTCTTTTTTGGTACTGACCACTTCAGCAGTCTTGGCCGCATTGATCTTCTGCCTTCCTCTACCATACAAACATTTGCTAACCTAAGAGCTGGGAAACTTTCAAATGCCCATATTTGCAATGCAAAAACAAAACCTGGAAAGGTGAACCTATCTTTGGTTGCCTTTTGAATATTCTGTGTCCACTTAGGCGCTTTTTCCATTAAATATGCTCATATTTCATCTTCCCAAGGATACTTGTTCACTAAATCCAAATCATCTACCATATTAAGGTACATTGCTGGACATTTCACTGACTTCTGGTTGCCAATGATAAAGTTTGCAATCAAATTAAGTACTGCCAGCTTAACCCTATCTATGGCTTCCTTTTGCACAGGTATATTTTCAAACTCCTCAAAAGCCCTTGTTATATCAGCCCTTAAAACATTATTCCTTCCGTTAAAAAATCTTTTCCATATGTCACCTATACTGTCTTCTCCAGGTACTACCGGTTTATCTCCTCCCATTTTAAATCTTGTGATTAATTCCAAATGTTTCTTTCTGAAACTCACCACCCTATTTCCTATATGGAAATTAATCCTGTCTGTGCAGATCTTCTTGTTAAGCTTCTTCACATGGTTTTCAGCTATTAATACCAACAACTGCCCATTCATCCATTCCAGATTACCCATGTCCAATAATCCTCCAAAACTTGTATTTCTAATTTTTTTGAGTTGCTCTTCATTTAACAGCTTCTTTATTACTTCAATGGCATTATACACATTTGAATAGCAATTCAATTTTATCTTCTTCTTTGTACACAATACAGGGTTTGCAATTGACCTTACAATTGCCTGGTCATAATCAGTGTATAAGTATTATAATCATCAGTGAACAAATAACATGATTAACATTGGGAGATTTATACAAATAAGTCTAAAACGTATAAAATTTCCAAATCTAGGATTACAAACTGCCGCATGACATAAGTGCATTTGTTTTTACCATTATACCCCTAATATAAAATCAGATTATAAATCCCCTTCTCCAGGCATAGCGGACGATGCCGCCTTTGACGAGGACCCAAGCGAAGAGCTCTTTCTGGAAGACAATTTCGACGCCGATGAGGTACCAAATCCTTCATACGCCGGGGTTCGGTGACGACGGTGGCTAGGGCTCGACGATGGCGACGGTGGCTAAGGTTTTGCAATGCATCAGCGGCTAAGCTTCAAGCTTCGGAGATGGCGATGATGGCTAAGGTAACAGACAGCTGAAGGCTAGATTTTGAGGCCGGAGGGGGGAATGGTGGATTGGGGGTCGGGGTTGTGGAGATCTGGGATAGATCCGGGTTGGGAGGGTGGATCGGGGGTTATGTGGTTTGGTCGGAGTTGGAGCTCGAGCTGGGGAGGGGGGCTGGGGGCTGGGGGCTGGTGAGGAGGCTGGGATGTGGCTGGAGCTGGGTGGGGGTCGGGACTGGGGAAGGGGCAAAGGGCTGTTGACAGCGGCACTGCCGCTGTGTTGCAGCGGCCGGGGTGTTGCGGCAGTTACCGGAGTGTTACGACGGTGTCCTGGGTGTTACGGTGGTGGTCGGATTTGCCAATTTCGAACTTCTATTTCATATTTTTACAACGCCACAAGTACTCTGCAAAACGTTTGAAGAAACCAGATCCAAAACCAAACTTGCAAACACTAAACAATACATAGACATTAAGTGGTCAGTAAACAGACAATAAGTTCCAATAATAGTTCAATAGCAGGCAATACATAGACACTAAGTAGTCATTAAACAGACAATAAATTTTGACAATAGCTCAATAGCAGAGCAGGTCACGTAAAACAGTAAGTGAAGGGTAAAATTGGAAGTTTAAAATCCAGTTTTCAAAAATAGGACTACATGGCTCTTACGCAAGGAATAAACGTACGTAGGTCCCAATTTTAAAAAGGAGCTATGATTTGGTCCTACCAAGTGCAAATTTCTGATTAACATTTTCTTATGTATATACTGCCTACTAATTAAACACAATGTCTATATACATCTCTTAAATAACATGTCTATATACATTAGCATTATCTATATACACAATGTCTACCTCACAGATATAATTCCTCACACATAAAGACAGTCAGTAAGAGAAGTAGTTATACTATCAATGAAAAATTATACAAATAGGACCAAATCTATTAATGACTGCTTGGATACAAACTGGAAAATTCTATTTGGTTAAGTATCAATTACAAATTGTACGACAACTACTCATTTAATGATTATCAATAATTCATACAGAATTTTTGATGATTTCACAAGAGAAATAGACAGTAAGAGAAGTAGACAATTTCATATGCATACTTTAACATGATTTCCAACTATTGAATTGAACATCATACCTGACCAGACGGAAGAACAATTTCAATGTTTTGAGCCTCTGATTTGTTCGGTTTCTTCGTTTCGAAATCACTGTCAGATTGACCCGCTTCAACTTCTTCCCCGATTTCATCGTTTTCAGCCTCTGATTTCTTCTTTCTCTTCGCCATTTGTTCGTCGAATTTACTGACTCCTTCGTCGCTCGTGCTTGCTCGTTGAAGAAGGTTGAAGATCGGAAGCAGAAATTTTTTTCCGTTGAGCTTTCTTTGAAATGCGGAAGAAGTTGTTTTACCGATTAAGGAAATTTTAATGTTGAGCGGCTGAAACTTACACGTGGCGCGAGAGTTTTGAAATGAAGGGTATAAATGTCAACTCCTTTGGAGATAAGTACTACTCCTATTTTGACTCATATTTTTAGAAACTTTGTATCATTTGGTACTATTTGTATAATTTTCCCAAAAAATGTTTGGCGTACACAGGTGTAGACATTTTGTGGCAGAACTCCACAATTTTAATTTCCGAACGAGATGTCAGCAGCGGCGGCTGGTCTTATCCTACCAGTTCCAGGATTTTGCTGCACCAGATTACGATGCACGGCCCAAAGTCCCGCCTTCAGAGTCGACTTTCCACCCCACAAATCTGTGCACTGGGATAGCAGAAATTTCACCATGAACGGCGCTGTTGCGGCCCGAATCAATGCACACGACGAGGATCAGGGCGGTCTTGCGGCGCTCGAACAAGAACCTCTGATCAATGACTCCATAGTCGTGGCAGCTTCTCGACTTGAAGCCACTCTGAATAACACGGTTGCGTAAATTTCTTCTGTTTCCTTTCGAAAATTTGAGATTTTGTGCATGTGTGTGGCTGGGGGCTTTAGTAAATTGCTCATTCTTTTGGGGATTCCTTGTACGCATTTGATGCTTTGTCCGTAGAAAACCTATAGCATATTTTAGTGAATGGTCAAAAGGGTAGATACTCTAGATAGTAATTTGAACGTTTAGGGAAACCCAATTTATGATCCAGTATGGACTTTAGATAAATAGATTAACATGTTGTTTAAGGAATCTAAATTATAATATTTTTGTGATTGTAAAAAATGCAATGCAGATATGTAAAAACTAAGTTCAGCTCCAAACTTTTTCTATCAAACACTTTTTGCTTCTAGTTTCTCAACCATTCTCTTAAGGGATATGGTTAACATGACTCATGCATTAATCATAATGTCCTATCATAAGCCGCAATTACAATCCATATATGACCGAACAAGACTTGTTTTTATTGCAATGGATTAAAGGTGAATACTACCTCCATCTCATTAAGATTGAGACATTTTTGCTACTTCATCATTAGGATTATTATTATTATTTATTTAATATCTAAGCATTATAAGACTAAAATATTACTAGAATTTTGGGCATCTATATTTTTAAATTTAATCACCCAGTCCTAGTCGCTACTCTGCCCATGACAGAGTTGCTACCGAGTAGCGGTTTAACTACTTCGCAAATAAGATGAACCGGTTGGAGTATGGTGCCCGATGGTGAAAACTCATCATCTTTTTTTACTTAAATCTTTTTCTTCATTTCATACCTGGACTTTTCATGGTTTTACTTTGAACCTTTCACAATAGTTAATTGTAGGAAAAGAATAATCACTTTTTACGCTAACTCATATAGAGCATTATTACACTCGAAATGCAGAGTAAGTGGCTTTTTGCTGTGCTTTTTGGTTTAACCTTGGTCTCGAAACATGATGCACAAGCACTTTGGGCTTCTATAGGTTCTGTTCTCAATTCTCTTCTGTCATACATCCTGAAGAGAATACTGAACCAGAGACGGCCTGTTCCCACCTCAAGATCGGATCCTGGAATGCCGTCATCACATGCACAGTCAATCTTCTATATCGTCACATTTACTACCATCTTGAGTAACTTACTTTCTCTAGCTAAGTTTGTTATGATAATAATGTATATACAAGTCATTTGTAATGTAGCTCTCACATTTAAACTCTACTTGACCATTGTTAGTGCTGATTCAATGATATGAGGTATATGAAATGCTACATGAATACTTAGGGAAACTGTTGGGTGCTCATGTAGCACATCCATTCTCCTTCAAAGTCTTCATTACTCAGATGCTTGACGTTATTTTCTGTGTGCATTGCACCTGTAATAACAATTGCATCTACTGAAATTTTTCTTTCCACTTTTTTTCTTCAAAATGGGATTTAGTTTAGAAATTTATCTATATATGTGACTAAAGCATTCATAAATTCTTAATATATGACTAACAAACTTAATCATGCCTCTATATGAGTAATAATTAAATTGAAGGGATCAAAACGCATATCATACATGCAAAACACCGTTAAATTAGAAATAAAAATCTGTTTAGTCATATCGTAGGAATCACCACATCTTTCAGTCTTTCTCCTAGTAATTTTCTCATTTAGTTTTGTCTTTCTTTTCAATATTTTCCCAAAAGATATTTATAAAAGCATTAATTAGGCACGGAGTTTAAAAGATTGAGAGGTTCTATCTTTATATTTGAGGTTGCCTCTATCAACCATACATATAATGTGCTTACAACAATTATAAGTTTCTGTTTTGTACCTAATAATGAAACACAACTAGTGCATTATGAAAACAAAAAATGCATCAACCAGTCAAAGAAACTTTCTATAAGATTGGTTTGCTTATCTTCTTGCTGCCTTCTGGGGAGATGGCATTTTTGTGCACTTGTACCATCTATGTTTCAACTGTTTTCTTGAATTAGCTCTCATTTGTGACTGTAGTGATTCAAAGTTTTGGACTGAGTGGACTCACAGCAGCACTCGGTGGGCTTATCTTTGCACTTGGCTGTTACTTTGTAAGTCTACAATTGTTGATGAGAAATCTCTTGCCTGATGCATAACTTGTTTATCTGAATGACCTTTTGGACTACTTAATAATGCTTAAATTTTAACAACAACTAAGGATAGTTATGAAAATACAAAGAGACCAGACATTACCAGACCAGCAAATTACAGTTCAAGCAAATTACATTACCAGAACAGTTATATTTAGTTGTGTAAACCTATGTTGATGCTAAAATATTTGCCTAGTGGATCTAACATTTGGCACCATGTCTTGAATTGCATGGCTGAAGCGTTGGTTTTGCCTTATCTTCCAAATAATTCAAATTTGATAACCTGTCAAGACATAAGGACTTGGCTCCCTATTAAGACGAATAATTTGGAAACATAATGTTGATTTTACAAACTAGTTTTGCAATGCAACATGATATATATGAGGATAACAAGTATCTCTAAATATTTTTTTATCTAAAGGATATAATATATGATGATTGATGGTATCAATTGTTAACTAATTATAGACTATTTATTTTTTATTCTTTGAAAATGTAGAAAAATGTGACATATATTTGTAACTTTATTTTAGGCTAAAGGGTCAAATAGGTACATGAACTAACTTAAAGTGTTCAATTAGCCCCCTATATAGGAGGTTCTGCCCGGCCTTCGTCAATTGGGGCAGTTCCCGGTGGAATTTTTTGATGAAAATTTTTGAGCATCTTCTTCATTAAGTCTAGTTTACTCATATCAAATTTCAGCTAAAAATTAAATCGGGAAGGCAGTCAAATGATTTTCCAAAATGTACTACGTTGTTTACCTGCGCAGTTATCTTCAAAAAATCATTTGACTGCCTTCCCGGTTGAATTTTTAGCTGAAATTTGGTATGGATAAACTAGACTTAATGAAGAAAATGCTCAAAAAATTCCACCGGGAAACGTCCCAATTGGCGACGGCCGGGCAGAACCTCCTATATAAGGGGCTAATTGAACACTTTAAGTTAGTTCATGTACCTATTTGACCCTTTAGCCCTTTATTTTATGTATGTATGTAGTGTATAGATAAGAGGTTAGAGCTGATAGACTTCATTAATTATTAGATAAGCTCGTAGATAGTTAGATCCTATTATTTAGGATCTGAACAGATTCTGATTAATCCCACATTACAAACCCTAACTCCCAAATTAGCCCTATGACAAATTACCAATCTCCTATTCATTCATCTATGCTAATCACCAGCCATAGATTGAATGGAAAAAACTATTTGGAGTGGTCTCAATCTATCAAGCTTGCAATTGATGGGAGGGGAAAACTGGGGTACCTAACGGGAGAAGTCAAACCAAAACTTTCTTGTGAGGAAGGCTATAGCACATGGAGGTCAGAGAACTCACTTGTAACAGCCTGGCTTCTCAGCTCCATGGAGGCCTTAATTGCCAAACCTCATATGTTTATGAAGACCATAGTTGTCATGGCGCATGGCGACATCCATGGCGCACATGCATTTTTCCATGGCGATGGCGATGGCGCAAATATGGCGTCGCCACGTGACAAAAATTAAAAAAACTAAAAAAAACGAATTATAAACACTACAATTGTATCCCCAACCACCAAAATATGATAAAACAAGTTGAATAACAACATTCTAACCAAAACATGTGACATTCAAATAGTTTAAAGTAGTTCCAAAAACATAATATTCAAAAAAAAGTTCCATGTCTTTCAAAATATATTAGCTTGTTTTTGTTTGATAATTATTCCATAATCATCATAAATTGTCACTCCTCAGTTCTCATCACCTTGGTATGATAGCAATGGAACACCATCTTTATTCTTTTTATTTATATATATATATATATATAACTATATATTTATATAGAACTATATTTATATATATAATTATATATTGTATATAAATTAGAATTTAAACTCACAATTAAAAAAAATTGCAAATGAAACTTACAATTTATAATTGAAAACAAGGTTTATTAATGAGAATTAAAATTAAAAAACTAATCAAAACAAAAGGTGAAGTATATCATAGAAGCTTATTTTAAAATAGAAGTATCACAGTTAAAACAACAAAAAAACAAGGTTAAAGCAACAAAACTATAAATACACAACTTAATTAATTAAAATTTAAAAAAAAAAAAAATATGAAGCCAAAGATCGAGGACCTGGGAACTGGGAAGATCTGCGGCTCTGCTGCTCTGCTTCCGCGAGGGACAGAGGAAGGGCTACTCTGTGAGTTCCCTTTCTCTTATTCATATTCGTTTGATTCCTGCGTGTGACTCGGGTATATGACTTCGGCTTGGATATTAGTCTGGGCTTGGGTATAGGACTTTTAATATTAAGCCTAAAGCCTTAATTAAATTAGCTTCCTAAAAATTTAAGACCTAAATCTATTTTATCTTGTTCTGGGCCCGCCAAAGCGGTTCTACTTGCGAATAAAGTAAGGGTTTGTTCGCCCAACGCCATGGCGAAGGCGCAGGAATGGCGACGCCACGTGTATATGCCTCGCCACAGGCCTTTTACGTAGCGCAGGGGTGATAAGTGCGCCTCATGGCGCATGGCGCGCGCGCCATTTCACGCCATCGACAACTATGATGAAGACAGCAAAAGAGGTCTGGGATTCCATAAAGGAAACTTACTCAAACCTTGAAAATTCTTCTCAAATTTTTGAGTTAAAAACCATTCATTGGCAGTCCAAACAAGGAGATAGAGATGTCACTACCTACTTCAATGAAATGGTGTCTCTATGGCAGGAATTGGATCAGTACTATGATGATGAACGGGAAAGTGCAAAAGATTTGGCCAAACACAAAAAGAGAGAAGAAAATGACAGGGTTTATATGTTCCTGACAGGAGTTAATCAAAGTTTTGATGAAGTGAAGGGAAGGATTCGGGGAAAGAAGCCTTTGCCTTCAATCAGAGAGGTATTCTCTGAAATCAGAATTGAAGAGAGCAGGAAAAGGATTATGAATCACACTCAAGGACCTCAGATGATACTGGAGACTCCTCAACATTGGTGGTCAAGGGAGAAGAGAGGAAAAATCCATGGTGTGATCACTGCAAGAAGCTGTGGCACACAAGGGAGACTTGTTGGAAGATCCATGGAAAGCCACCTGGAGCAGGAAAAAAGAAGTTTGAAAAAGCTCTCAATACTACTGTGACTGAAACTCAACAAGAGCAGGAAGTCAATTCCAAACAGTTTCCTTTCACAAAGGAACAGATAGAGCACCTACTCCAGTTTCTAGCTACCCAAAAAATACCCAACCAAGAAACCCCCTCTTGTTCTTTTGCCCAAAATGGTAAAATTACATCATATTTTTGTTTTGAAAAATCAAAAACCACATGGGTCATTGACTCAGGTGCAACTGATCACATGACCTTTATTCCAAATGTCTATTCTTCATATACACCTTGTGCAGGGGAAAAAAAAAGTCAAAGTTGCAGATGACTCTTTTTTCAGCCATTGCAGGAATGGGAAATGTCAATATTTCCTCATCCATTAACCTTTCTAAAGTCTTACATGTTCCAAAACTTTCCTGTAATCTTATTTCTATCAGCAAGTTAACCAAAGACCTTCAGTGTTGTGTCAGATTTTATCCCTCTTATTGCATTTTCAGGATCTGGCATCGGGGAGGATGATTGGCGGTGTTAGAGAGGAAGATGGATTATATCTTTGATGAAGGGACTGAATTAAATAAACAAGGTCAAGGAAAGGCTTGTCTGCAAACTAGTTCTTTTCCTTGTAATAATGAGGTGTATTTAATGCACTATAGATTAGGGCATCCTAGTTTTTATTATTTAAAAAGATTGTTTCCTCAGTTATTTCATAATAAAGATCTTCATCATTTCATTGTGATATGTGTGCACTTGCCAAACATCATAAGAATTCTTATATTCCCCATTGTTACAAACCAACTAGTCCTTTTACTCTTGTGCATAGTGATATTTGGGGTGCATCTAGAGTTTCTACTTTGAAAGGAAAGAGATGGTTTGTAACCATTATAGATGATCACACACGGGTCACATGGGTTTTCTTGATTAAAGAAAAATCTGAAGTTGAAGATGTGTTTAAAAAATTTTACTCAATGGTTCAGACTCAATTCAATACCAATATTAAAATGGTAAGAAGTGACAATGGCCGTGAGTATTTTTTTCAAAGCTTGAATTTTTTTTTTGCTGAAAAGGGGATTGTACACCAAAGTTCTTGTATTAATACACCTGCTTAGAATGGCATAGCTGAGAGGAAAAATAGGCATTTACTTGAGGTCACTCGTGCAATTATGTTTTCAACTAGAGTTCCAAAATATTTATGGGGAGATGCTGTTTTACATGCTACCTATTTAATTAATAGGATGCCATAAAAAACTTTAGGGTTTAAAACCCCTATTGATACACTTCAAAAATGTTTTCCTACAACTAGACTTATCAGCTCTCTTCCCTTAAAAATATTTGGCTGCACAGTGTTTGTTAACAATCCTGACAGAACAGCAAGCAAATTTGACCCTAGGGGTTCAAAATGTGTTTTTCTAGGACTGTCTTCAACTCAGAAAGGATATAAATGTTTTGATCCTACAACAAAGAAGATGTTTGTTACAATGAACATTAGTTTTGTTGAAAATCAACCTTTTTTAATACTCATCTTCAGGGGGAGAATTCTAGTGAAGATGGTAACAGTGTGCTGCATATTCATGAAAATCTTGAGTTCCTTGACATTAATCTAGATGCATATCATAATAGAAACTTAGATAAATCAGAAAATAGTCAAGACCTAGAAGAAAATGAAATAAATATAACTGAAACAAGGAAAGAAGATGAGCAGCAGACAAGCAAATTTTTTGGCAAGGTTTATGAAAGGAGAGTTCCAAATCAAAGAATAGAGGACATCTTTGATCCTGCAACTGCTCATGAATCTGACTCAATGCCAGCAAATGAGAAAGGTAATAATTTTAGTGATCTAAATTTACCTATTACTCTCAGAAAAGAGAAAAGGTCATGTGTCAAATACTCTATCTCAAACTATGTGTCTTATTCCCAGTTATCCTTATCATTTGCAGCCTTTACCTCTAGTCTTTCTTCTATTGCAATTCCATTAACCATACAGGAAGCTCTATCCAAACCTGACTGGAAGAAAGCAGTTTTGGAAGAGATGAATGCTCTTGAAAGGAATCAGACATGGCAGATTGTAGAGTTACCCAAGAACAAACCCACTGTAGGCTGTAAATGGGTTTTTACTCCTAAATTCAAGGCAGATGGAACACTCTGGAAAGGTACAAGGCCAAGTTAGTTGCCAAAGGATATACACAAACCTATGGCATAGACTATACTGAAACCTTTGCCCCAGTTGCAAAACTAAATACTATAAGGATTCTCTTATCTTTAGTTGCAGACCTAGATTGGCCACTTCAGCAGTTAGATGTGAAGAATGCCTTCTTAAATGGGAAACTTGAAGAGGAAGTGTACATGAGTCCTCCTCCTGGATTTGAGGGTAAATATGGCTCAAAGGTGTGCAGATTAGAGAAAGCCTTGTATGGATTTAAACCGTCCCCAAGAGCTTGGTTTGAGAGGTTCACCCAGTTCATAAAGAGACAGGGATTTTAGCAAGCTCAAGCTGATCATACTCTTTTTATGAAATTTTCAAGTGAGGGGGAGATTGCAGTATTAATTGTTTATGTTGATGATATTATTCTTACAGGGGATTATTATAAAGAAACTGCAAGTCTGAAGGAGAAACTAGCCCAGGAATTTGAAATCAAAGATCTGGGAGAATTGAGGTACTTTCTTGGCATGGAGATAGCTAGATCAAAAAAGGGATTTGTGATATCACAAAGGAAGTATGTACTAGACCTTCTACAAGAAACAGGTATGAGTGCATGCAGACCAATAGATACCCAAATTGATCCTAATCAAAAGCTGGGTGATGTCAAAGAGGGAGGTTAATGTTCAACAATATCAAAGATTGGTGGGAAGATTGATTTTTTTTTAGAGTAGGGAAGATTGATTTATTTGGCACATACAAGACCAGATATTGCTTTTGCAGTTAGTATGGTTAGCCAGTTTATGCATAATCCATTCCAGGAACATTTTGATGCAACTTACAGAATTCTAAGGTATTTGAAAAGCTGTCCTGGGAAAGGATTATACTTTAGAAAGAACAACAGTAGGACTGTTGAAGCTTTTACAGATGCTGACTATGCTGGTTCAATTATTGATAGAAGATCTACTTCTGGGTATTGTACCTATGTATGGGGAAATCTAGTGACTTGGAGAAGTAAGAAGCAGAATGTGGTTGCTAGGAGTAGTGCAGAATCTGAATTTAGATCTGTGGCTAATGGAATCTGTGAACTACTATGGATCAAGAAAGTAATTTCAGAACTGAAAATGAAGATGGATTTACCTATGAGGTTATATTGTGATAATAAGGCAGCCATTAATATTGCTCATAATCCTGTGCTACATGATCGTACCAAACTTATTGAAGTGGACAGACACTTTATCACAGAAAAGATTGAGGTTGGGATTGTGTGTACTCCATTCATATCTACAAAAGAACAAACAGCTGATATCTTCACAAATTAAAGGGATTGTTCAAACCAGTGTTTGAACTACTTATAAGCAAGTTGGGAATGTATGATATTTACTTACCAACTTGAGGGGGAGTGTAGAAAAATGTGACATAAATTTGTAACTTTATTTATGTACGTATGTAGTGTATAGATAAGAGGTTAGAGCTGATAGACTTTATTAATTATTAGATAAGCTCATAGATAGTTAGATCCTATTATTTAGGATCTGAACAGAATAGTTGTTATCTGTACTCTGTATATATACCACTGCCGGATGGCTGAATAATATTCAAGGAAGTTTTATTTCTAAAACCTACAGAAAACAATCTTAGACTTTATTGAATCTATAAAGTTCATTTCACCCACCACGGCCTTGTCGGAATTAAGGTGGCAAATATGATGATCAACACAATGACTGATACAAGCTCTATTGCCTATCATTGACAAACATGTGGCAACATATACACTTTGCCTCCTATTATTATCAATGATGTGGCACATATCCACATCTGGAACTTGCACTGTGCTGGATGGGGTTCTAGATGTTCGACAGTTCTCAGAACGAATTATAATATGGTTTTCTCTGAAGTTTATGTTCATATGGAAACTTCTTTGCTTTATCAAACAGATAGGATATGACGATAAGTCTTTCATTTAGCATGAGCTTTGGTGCATTTTAAAATATCACTAGCAAATGTACCATATTAATTGTTCTTAGTTCTTACTAATGTAGTTAGTCAAATGGCATTCATTTACTTCTTCAAACTCCTATCAATTTACCGAAGATGCCAACTGGTTCATTTACATCGGTATAGCCTCAAGTTCTACAATCAATTAGCAGCCCAAGCTGAAATACCATAGTATTTTGAAGGTTTTACTGGAAAGATTTTATAATCTCAATATTTGATATTTTTTTTATATGCAGTCATGGCTACGGATTTCCCAAAAGCTTCATACAACTAGCCAAGTATTTGTGGGTGCTATGGTAGGGTTTGGCTTCTCCATTTTGTGGTTCTGGTTATGGGATGCAATTATGTTGATGGCATTTCAATCTCTCGTTTGGTTCCGGACTATTGTTATTCTTTCTGCTGCTGGGTTATGCTCCGGCTTTCTCGTTTATGTTATTCGATATTGGATCCTAGATGAACAAAGGAAGATTTCTGAAATCAAATACCCAGATAGAAGCTAACAATATATGTTGCATACGTACGTACATGGTCGAAACTGAATTAACTTGAGAAGAACAAGTAATATTGTTTGATCTCGCAAGAGGGAAAATGGCTTTTGTCCACTTGTGTATTTCTTTTCCTTCTTTTGTGCCTTTGTAGGCTTGTGATATAAGTCATATAACCTTAAAAGCCTAAATTGCCTGATTGGTGGTTGAACTCCGTCATGAGATCATTTTTTTATATCATGTTTGTCCCAAGCCAGGATAAATAAGGGAGGTGAATCGAAATATGAATCTGATATCTTAGATCGTTTCATGTTAGCCGACCCTAAAATACATTAGGAATACGGCTTAGATGTTGTTGTTAGATGTTGGTGGTGGTGGTGGTGCTGCTGGTGGTTGAACTCAAGGCTTTGAAAATTGCGCTTAAATAGTGAAATTGTACAACTCTAAAACCAGACACAGAACTTAAAGTTGTAAATACCCTAAAAAAAGATGAGTAGATTCATGTAAGGGGGTGTTTGGATCTGATTCTTAAAATTGATTCTGCTTGTTCAGAGAGCAGAGGCGGAAGCTGGAGTGTTTGGATGAAAATGCAGAAGTGGTTCTGGTGCTTTAATTTACTCCTAGAATCAGTTTTTTACAAGTTGGGGGAACAAGCTTCTGAAAATTGATTCCGATTCTTCTTTAAAAAAGAAGCAGAAGCACAATCAGTTCCAGATATCCCCTATATCTATTTAAAATACTTTATCACCCCTTAAATCATATATACAATAAAATAATGGATAAACACTAACTACGTGTATTATTAAATTATACTTTATCACGCCATCTTTATACTTTGTCATGCCATCTCTTTCAAGCACATCGTTCCAAGCTCGTGGTCCTTCCACGACCGCCTCGCTTGTGGGGGGCATGATAAAAGTATAATTTAATAATACACGTAGCTTATCCATTATTTTATTGTATATATCAACTCCAACCACTTGTATATTTTAGTTAGCTGTTAGGATCCTGGAGCTTATCACATGCTGAGTTAGTTCGCCAGCATGCTTTACGTAAGTGTATATATATATATTAATATATATATGGCTAAGGCCATACCATATAATCAAGCATCTCAATTATTATCTCATACGTAATATAATCTTTAGCCTTAAATCATTTATGATCATGGCAAAATCGTACTTGGAGTATTTTTTAATGAAAATATTTGGAAATCATTTATATTTATAAGAAATAGATATAAAATTCAAATCATAAACAACGTTTTTTAATTGAAGTGCTGAGTAACGGTGTGTATCAGTGTAAGCAGGGGCGGATCTGCCTTAGGTCCAGGGAGGGCCTAGGCCCACACTCAAAAAAAAATAATAGTATATATATATATATATGTATTATTTATATATAGTTATTTAGAAATGGTATAATAACAACAAAAGCCGAAGTGTAATTACAAGGCCGTGTTAGCTAGATGGAAGCAAACTAGACCTGCACAAAAATGGGTTCGGGCCGGTATGGGTGGACTCGGGCCGGTTCGGGCCCGGTTCGGGCCTGGGCCCGGCCGGGCCTCGGGCCAGAAAACTAGGGCCCGGGCCCGAACCGCCGGTGGGCGGTTCCGGTTCCGGTTCCGGGCCAAACCGGGCCGGGCCGGGCCAACCGGTCTATTTTTTTTTTTTGTTCTCCTTTTTAACCCCCTACCCCTCCCCCTCAACCCCAAACCACCTCAAATGGCCCAAAATACCTAATCCAACCCAAAACTTAAAAAAAATTCAAAAAAAAAAATTAAAATCCGGCCCAGACCGGGCCCGAACCGGCCGGGCCGGTTCACCAAAATCAGGGCCCGAGCCCAAACCGCCATCCCATCGGGCCGGGTGGCCCGAACCGGTGCACCAACCGGTTGACCGGGCCGGTCCGGGCCCGCACAGTAGCGGGCCGGTCCGGTTCTGGGCCGGTTGGCCCGGCCCGAGTCCACCCCTACGGGCCGGGCTCAGACCGGGCTTTTTATAAATTTTTGCCCATCATGTGTGGGCGGGCTCGGCCTGGCCCACAAAAACGGGCCTAACTCCATGTCCATACCCGCCCGTAAGAGCGGGCCGGGTAGTCCACCGGGCCTCCCGGCCCGGAAAAACTTTAAATTTTTCTAAATTATATAATTTTTTTTAATACTTTAAAAATAATATGACAGAATTTAAAAAATTGTTAATACGCTTAAAATATTTATAGGCCTTTCACCACATACAAACATAATACTTACATAAAAATAATAATGAGAAACTATATCTAAAATTTAAATTTCAAGCAAAAAGTATTATCTTTAAGTACAAAAATAGATACTATATTAGTTGGGCTAGTTGTTAAGAACTAAAAACTTAAATTTACATATAATAAACTATAAATATGTATAAAGGTAAATTATATTAGTAAATATAAATATACATGTGTACATGTAAATAAATAAATAAATTAGTGTATATATATACACACACTAAATGTAGCGGGCCGGGCTTATCGGTCCGAACAAGCCTACACCCTAACCCAAGCCCGCCCATATGTTATTGCGGGCCGGGCTCGGGCCGGGCCGGTGGGCAAATATATATGCCCAAGCCCGCCCATTTGTGCGGGCCGGTTGGGCGGGCTGGGCGGGCCGGCCCGGTTTTGTACAGGTCTAAAGCAAACTAGTGCGTGTGTGGTAGACGTCGTGTGTTCGACTTCTTTGGAGAGTGAGATTTTCTATAAGTCCAAAATTTTGGAATTCTAGTCTCCCAAACCCCAAAAAATTAAATAGTGGCCTAATTTCTTTATTATGGCTTTATTGCCTTAAGCCTTTAATAACTTTGTTGTTTATATATATATATATATATATATATATATATATATATATATATATATATATATATATATTCATTTTTCAGCTTTTAGGTTTTCAGCTTTATGCCTTTATATAATTCTATTTTATATTAGGCTCAAAAAAAATCTATTTTATATTAACCTTTACTTCTAATTTGACTTTGACAAAATTTATTCTTGTAATATTTATTTCTGTCTTCAACATTTATGTTGCAAGAAATATCAATTTATACTCGAAAATAATAATACATATGTAGTATTATTTTACTACATTTTCACTTCTCTTTTACAATATACGTTATTTAATTAAATTTTGTTCCCTCATTAAAAAAATGGCCTCTGCTGAATGTTAAAGCTAGATCCGCCCCTGAGTGTAAGGGCATGTTTGGTAATGACTGGAATGGGTAAAAGGCTTGAAAAAGTTGAATCTACTGAAGTGGAAGTGTTTAGAAATATGTTGGTTGAATTATGGGTGGACCGGGACCGGTCGGACAGGCCCGGACCGCCACTGTGCGGTACCGGACCGGCCCGGTTGATCAGGAGCGGGACTGGGCCTGGGGGTTTGGGGGCGGGTCACGGGCTTAAGCCCTCTTGGAATCGGCCCGACCGGTCTGGGCCAAAAATGTTTTTTTTTTTTTTCGAATGGATTGGGGGTAGGCGGGTTGGGCTGGGTGGTTTGGGGGTGTTTGGGGGGTGGGGAGGAACAAACAAGGAAAACAAAAAAAAAAGTATCGGGCCTCCAGTTGCCAAACCCGGTCCCGCCCATAGCCCGACCCGGGCCCGGTCCATCCCTAGTTGAAATGATTGATTGAATGAAGAATTACCATATTATTACCCCAATGCCGCAAAGGCTTCCCACCTACGGTGGAATAAGGGAGGTCGGATGTACGCAGTGTTCCTCTTGCACTAAAGCATAAGGAGATTGTTTCCGGATGACCCATTGTGAAAATCGCGTTGAATTTGCATGCACTGATTAATTCTTCATAACAAAAAAGCGTAGACCATTTAGTATACCATTTTGCTTTATTCCATCGCATTTCCGTAAGGAAGATTATTTTGAATAGCAACGAAATTTAATTACAAGTGCGCTAAAAACCACAATAAATTCGAAATTGAGCAAGTCTAAAATGTTCAAGCCACGTACAAAATACAAGAAAAACCAAAGGCAGATAATAAGACCATATCTACTTGGAATAACAACACAACAAGTGAAACCACAAAGAATAGAAATTTGGGCAGGTAAACCTAAGAAAGTTTATAAAGGAATGCTAATCTGGGAAGAAGACGGCTAGATGGACATAAGAGAGTTAGAGAAGAAGTATACATAATACGGACGTAAAAAGAAGATGATAAATATGTCTCTTAAATGGTTAACGGTATAATAATAGAATTCAGCCAAAAAAAATAAGGATTGGACTACTTTTTCAGTTGATAATAAGAATCAACCCATTTAAGCGGTGTTTCGTGAACTTTTTGTACATTCATGCTTATCAACCGTCCTCCAAACGGCCACTAAATGTTTTCTTTTTTTCACATGTGTTAAGTGTTTACTGTTAGTGTGCTTGACACTAACAAATGGTGTAAAATGTTTTTAATGACCACACATGTACAGTTTTAAAGCATGAGTTGAGTTAATATTATTAACTTATACTTTTTTTTATTTTTTTTATTATATACTACGTATTCTGTAAAGTCTTATGATTTAAGATAGCGGTTCAGCTTCCAAAACCTTCTCCCTAATTCGATTCAAGAGTTCAATTTGAACAACCTTGGTTGTTCAGTGAAACATTTGCACAGACAGAACCAAATACATAACATCAAAACCAAGTGTGTCAGAAGTCAGAACTCAGAAGTCATTTTGGATGCAGATGCTAATGTCGATAACTATTCAAACTATAAGATAGCTGTCTCATAAGAGAAGACTGCACTTAGCAATTCCGATCCATATATTATTGGTTATAATAACAAATGAGAATTCCCCTTAAATATATTAGTATTAGATATGGTGTCTCCACATCAATATGACAAGTAAAACAAGCTGAGAAACTTACAAGTAGAATTCAATCCATGCATCTAGTGATCTAGGGTTGCCATATTTTGAAGAATATGTAGGGGTCATCAGTAGTAGCTCCCCAGGTCCAGCGTCACAATAATGCAGAAATAAAGCTGACATTAATTTTTTACATACAATGTTCTTGCACAAGCCTGTATTTTGAACTGCATGCACTGCTCTGGTTAGTTCTATTTGTATGTCTGGTCAACAGAGGACCAAGTTTCACTCATTATGAAGTCTTCATCACCGTCGCTATTGATCCCCAAACGGAATATATCCCATTACAAGGCTTGAATTTGCCCACCATATCCATAGTGCTTTAGA